GAAATTCGGCTCACGAACGCTACCTCGCCACGCTCGTTACTTTTTACTTTAGCTCTTCTACAAGTTGCCTCCGCCGTCCTTGCACGTGGTTTAATTTTGTTCAGGACAATAAATCAATAAACATAGTGTGTTAAATTGTTGCATGTATAAGTGTCACCTCACCGACTCCTATCCCTAGAGTGTTGCTCGACCCAGCGAGTGTACGCTTACTTTAATCAACGCCCAATTCATCGGCGCGAACAATTGAGTGTATTGTACATTAATACCGGCGTAGTCTGGTGTAAAAAATATAGACTAGAAATGCCATTCTCAGGCAACTAAAAGTGTACAGTTTTGTGGACGCCTGATGCTCTGAGGTGCGGATGTATGCATGTGAGAGTAACCAGCTTGACTCTTTGTCTGTAAATAAGTTCTTTAATCTTTATTGAACAAGGGATTATTGCTCATTTTCTTTTATCTATAAAATAATTCCCTATTTATACTGGCATGGTAGTCCATCCATGGTTGTGCCAAAATATTCGTGCGTAAAGTATAAGATTACCGCTTCTTAAGAGTGCCGCAGAAAAAAAACAGTGTCAATGTAACACTTAGAAGCTTAAAAAAAAATTTTGCGAGGTGAATAAACTATATACTAGTGTTAAAGGAGTAATTTTAGAAAAAATAAGAAGATTAAAAAGTCAAGAAGGTTCAAGAACAGATATTAGCGGTATTAATATGGTGGAAACATTAATATACGTGTTTGATCATCAAGGCCATTTACACTGAAAGAAAATAATAACAATGTTTCTAAAATTAAAGAAATATACAACAGTAATAGAGTAGAGAAAATATTGATTGACAGAGTAGACGATTAGGCCGAAAATGATTTGAAAGTCACGATTTATCGATGCAGTGCTATTTCAAATAAGCAGCTGAAATTTGTCAGTGATTTAGACACGGCATTTAAGATTATGAAAAAGTTTTATGGAACGTATTTAAAGAAATAGAGAGCGCTGCAGATAATATGTTGAAACGAATTATAAAGAATCAGGTTAAAAAGTTACCATGAATCATCATCGTTTTTAAGTGAATTTGAAGAAGCAGTGAACGGGCAGCGAGGTAGAGTCCACGCGTCACAACAAGACACATGGAAATAAGACTCTGGCTCGGTTGGTGGTTCTCAGCAAAGGTTGTCGAGTTTACTGCAATGCAAAGTAAAACGAAAGGTAAACGTATAGTCTGGCTTTCAGATCGTGGTTATGTGATTAACCTAAAATACCTTAGACGATCTTATGAGCCATTTAAAAGTACATTGTGCTCCCTCTAAAATTTACGCTCAATACATTACCGACTATAATTAACAATGAAACAGGGGAAAACTTTTCGTATATTTCTCGAAATAATCTCCTAAATCATTAATTAAGGTGCTAGAGCAGCGAAAATACAAGCCTCTTTCAAAAATATTTTTAAACATCAACAGCCTGATGAAAAATTACATCTAGCAATGCTTGGCTGTGAAGCATTTATGCGAGGCCTACCCAATGGATGCAAGTCTAACATAATATCAAACGTGCCAAAAACTTAACTGGCATTTTATAGGTAGCTTTGGAAGTTGAACACATTGGAAATATGACAGCCCAATACTCATGCTACCATGTTTTATCAAAATTCACTTATGTAGTTTGCTCAGCAGTTACACTCTATGGCGAGACAAAATGCATCAGTACACCAACAAAGCACAGAAAAAGATTTTTTATATTTCCCGCCAAATCAAAATCATATACAACCAGTTGAATATTACAATCTCAACGTGTTTAATCAAGTAATATATCTCATTATTACAATCTTTATGGCACTAAAATTTTTCCTTCTCCGTTGAATTCCAACGAGAAAATAGTATGACACCCAGCCCTCCAATATTATAATAATGACTCTACTGATCAATCTGTAAAATTATAACAAAAACCGAATGTAACAAAATTTTCTCAACTTCTAAACAATTAAAAAAAAATCATCCCAATTATGACCCCACACATCTAATAAACCACCAAAATAAATTATGGGCCTATTGAAATTGCCCTTTTCGCATAAGCTCACTGCAGTGTATATACAAAAACTCATGAAACCATTTTTAGATACCACAAAAATCATGAACCGACACTAGCATTTGCTTGAGGTTGAATTCTTTCAATAATCAACAAAATTTCAGTCTCAATTTCCTAAACAAAGTCGGGAACTTAAAACGGGAACGGTGTTCGTTGCCCCGATGCAGTGGTGAGCAAGGACTTACATCAGCGTTTACAGATAACCTAATTTGTGTAATCGCCCAAGTGTCCATTGCAAAAAACATTAACACCGCGCTAGCAGTATAGCTAAAAATCTCACAACTAAATAAAACTGAAGATACATTTATCATAGATACAGGATCTAATTTCAATGATATAAAAATATCTTTATAACTACAGAGTGATATTATAAATACGTATTCAAAGTTTGCCTTATTAGATTAACTGTCCTAAATATCATAAAACTAGGACCGGTGGCCTTAAATGTATTTGATAGAAGTTACTTTTCCATGTTTTATCATAAGAAACACTACTTAGTGATAGGGGAATATTGAGAACCTCTATCTAGCTAAAGAACAAGCTAGCCTTTGTTATGACATAAGAGCTTTGATACTCAAAAAAAATTTATAAGTCCTATGCCAATGAGAGAAAAATTGCCACAACAAGTGATAAAAAGCGTGAACTTAAATTTATTGATACAACGGCAGAATTCACAAGTAAACAAAATCATTTTCAAATCAAATTACTAATTATATTAAAATGAATAAAGGGCCCTTAAATTTCCGCATATTTCTCTACATCTTAAGACTACCGGAATAACATTTAGAAAGAATCATGTATATGAAGTACCAATCATAATGAGAGTTGCAATAGGAATTTAAGAAGTACAACCTAGCAGCCGTGGTAAAGTATACCTGCGCTTGATGAAAACCATTTCTGGTATATTCATAGGAAAGGCAGCGGTAACATATGATAAACATTGTACAATGGCTATAAACACTAGAGAAGAGCCAGTAGAATATTTATTGGTACCTTAGTAGAAAAAAGCTATTGTCAGCTTTGTTACACATTAATCCATTGACTTTCTAGTGTAGTTAGTCCGTGAACGAGTACACTAATTACTTTCAGAATAACAAAAGTATATTGCATTAATTCCATACATGGAAAAGTACTCATTATTAAACTTTTGTCATTCGTGCATTCTTATGTGTGGGTATATAATCACTTATAGTCCTTAAAATCTTTTGACAGATTTTAATAATTTAAGGCTATTAATTTTTTCCCACTTATCGCTATAGTGTCTGTGAAAAAAGTTTTAATTTTTGACCTGAACAAGTTACTTCCTAATTTTAAAAAAGTGTCCTTGTATTGTGTAAATAAATAATTCGATGCATTATTTATCGGTAACTTAATATTATGTAACATAAAAAGAAGCTTTAATTATACTTTGTATATACTTCAATTTGTTACTTATATATCTTTATAATGAAGGTTAAATTATTTATAAAAATCAGTCGTTCTTCAAGATTCTGTGAACAGATTGAAAATAATCTAAGTCTTCATTTTCTTCTTTACTACCTTTATTCTAGCTTTAAAAAAAATTTGTTTTCATGGAAATTGAGATCTGTAATATAAATTTTTGTTTTCAATGATAAATTTTTGTTTTCATTTTAGTTCAAGAGTTTAAATTTTCTTTTTAAATGATATCTTTTTTATAAATCATGAATAATACTACATTTAATGATTTTAATTATTTTAATACGTTTTTCTACTCCTTTTCAGAATTATGTTTCAGGGTTTCGTTGACAGATTTTTCTTACTTAGGGATAAGAAATTTATATTTCATAGTAATAATAACTCAGGGTTATAAAGGGAGTCTTCTTTTTTGATCAAGTTATTTCAAACATATTTTTCGATCTTTAAAGTCAGTTTTTTTCAGTTTGTTGCTGCAAAAACTCAAATTTCCAATACGATCGTTATAGAGACCAACTTTTTTTTTGTAATTTTTTTATTAGTGAGGTATTCTGACTTTTACAAGAAAGAATATTCTAAAAACGTGCTAAGATATTTTTACGAGTTATTTCTAAGAAAAAAAATTTTTTTTTCTTGTTCTTATTATTGCCTAAGAATGAACTAATAGTTTTTCTCAATATTCTAACACGACTTCTTAAATTATTTTAATAACTTTTTTCTATTTGATTTACTCTCTTTTATTCATAAAAATTTTAATATTTAGAATCGTCCAGTATACGGACACGACTTTTTGGTCGGTAATTTAAAATCTGATGTGTTAAAGTCAGAGCTGATTAGCTATAGAAAACTACCTTTGACAAGAGCATAATTGTTACTAAGATTCAAAAAATTAGTTTTAGTCCATTCCACCTGATAACAAGTTATATTTTTTTCTTAATTTTTAGAATATCTTACCTTAGAAACTGTTTTTTAAAAACTAACAAATTTTTTTCGAACTAAAAATCTGGTAAGTATGAATTTAAATGGTTTATTTAATTAGTAAGTTAAGCAAAACTAAGATAATATATTATAAAAAGTATTAAAAAAGTACAAAGCTAAAACATACATCTTGACGAAGCCCTGTGCTAATTCATGGGCAGCATTTTTGTTTGACAACCCTTATGTGTAAAGCATAAAGCATAGGAATTTATATTTTTCTAAGTGTCCGTATTACTTACACAACTTACGGTGTTAGTCAAATGAGTATAATATTGCTTTTTTAATGAATCTTAAAAGTTATTGTGTTCTAACGTCGATCAGGTATACATGTGATAGAGCCAGAGAAAGGGAGATTGTGCATATATGTGTGAGCTTGCGTGTGTTTGTGTGTAGGGGTAATGCTTTGAAACTTTTTTTATATACTTCTATCATTTTTATACTAATTATTGATTTTAGTTTTGTAAAAAGCAGCTAATGTACACAACATGACTTTTTTAATAATAGGTGAAGGATTGATGGAATGTACATCTTGTCCACCAAATTCTATGCTTCATGAAGGAAAGTGTATAGCCTGTTTTGAAAATCAATACTATGACTCTTTGACGCTGTCTTGCCGAAACTGTCATTTAAATTGTGGTGAATGTTATGGCCCTGATGAAAAAAGTTGTTTGAGTTGTACAAGACCTTTGTATTACAACCGACTCACTCACCAATGCAGTCCATGCTGTAGTTACAAGCTACATGATAATGGCATGGATCAGTGTTGTGAATGTGATCGAGACAATGGTATGTATAAGTCTAATACCGTTCATTAAAATACAAATTTTAATGTGATCTAGTCTTACAATATGATAATATTCAAGATTGATTTTTAAAAACGTATACCACGTGCCACTTCTATCAGTGCAACAGTTTTATTGCTTGAAAAAGCAGAAAATGTACAAATGATACAAACAAATTTTCCTTAACATTGTTTAAAGCAGCTGTTGTACTTCTGATTGCACTCAGCATTAATATTACGGTAAATTTGTATAAGCCTTTTTAGCATAGTAAGAACCATAGTGTAATCGAATTAAGTTTTCGGCAATGGAAATCCATATATAAACAAAAAAAATTTATTGTAGAAAACTCAACACAGCCAACCGATTTAATAAAATTGAACAAAAATATTTTCCTCTAATGCTCCAAAAAATGGCAAAAATGGTAAAACACGGTTTATAGCGTCGAAAATGAACACTTAGCCATAAAAAAAAAAAAAAATTATGGAAGTATGCGTAGCAAAAAGATGAACAAAATGAGCTCAAGTCAATCTCGATTGGTCCAGTGGCTTCCCCACAATATTTCAAAAACCTTAGTTTTTGCCAATATTCAAAAATTAATAACTCTTTTTTGCATAAACATTAAGGGCGAAAATTTGGCAGAGTTGTAGCTTTAGTGATCTTCAACAACTACACCAATTTTCAGAGTCAAGCTTATTACAAACGATTAACCGTGTTGAGTTCTTTGCAGTATGTTTTTTTTTCTAGTCTGAATTTCTTGAAAAATTACCGACATTTTATCTAATTCGATCACACTACCAGTGATCAGTGGGGGCTTAGTCATTCAAACATTAACTTATACTTCTCCAGCGGATAATGTCACACTCTTTTATATCATATACGCTCACGCACAATTGTGTGTAAAACACCCACAATATACATTTGAAAAACGAAGTAGAAGTTAACGAAAAATCGTTTTTGTCAATAAATGTTGATTCAGTTCTACAAAATGGATAGTTATCATATTGTTAATAAAATATATTGCACACACAATAACAATAGGTTTGCATGATAAATGATTTAAAATAAAATTAATCTTACTGTTTTTCACATCTTAAATTGAAAAAAAATATTGATTAAACATGTAACCATAGGGAAGAATTATGTAAAGTGACATTTATCAGTAAATGATCTACAACAATTTTCAAATATTTTTTTTTTTATGGTTGAATACTTTAAGCTAAGTATAATTCATTTTCAAATATTTACAAGTTGTTTTTTCATCAAAGAAGAAAGTGGTCTAGTATGCATAAAAGGGTATATGTATGTATATTCATATGAATGAAATAATTACCAGCGTTGCTGAATATTTGCGCTCCCCTCATTTCTTTAAGCTTTCCGCCAGCTTACTATGACAAATGTCCTTAACTAAAAAAATCACCTTAGTCACTAATCAAAAAATTGTGAAAGTATAAGGTGTAATGAAAATCTATTATTGTATTTACAAAACTGTGTATAAATAAACCATTAATGGTAAAAATTTTTTAAATGTAAAATTTCTTGAATCAATCTTAAAAAATTTAAAAAGTTGTATAAGCAACAGTTTTTTTGTAAATTTTAAAAGAAAAAAATTAATTAAAATCAAATAAACATTTATTTATAAAAAAGCAACTGCTCAAAAAAATTTTCTTCAATTTCTTAAATAGACTTTGTAACTGTGTAAGAAAATAATTTATGTATGTAATAAATTAGATACTAAAAAACAAATCAGTCACTTAGAACTATATGAACATTTTAATTCAAAATAATTTTAGATACTACATTTAATGATTTTAATTATTTTAATACGTTTTTCTACTCCTTTTCAGAATTATGTTTCAGGGTTTCGTTGACAGATTTTTCTTACTTAGGNCTCAAAAACTTTTTCTTCAATTTCTTAAATAGACTTTGTAACTGTGTAAGAAAATAATTTATGTATGTAATAAATTAGATACTAAAAAACAAATCAGTCACTTAGAACTATATGAACATTTTAATTCAAAATAATTTTAGATGGCACTATAAGAGAAGTAAACGATATTTTCACTTCAAGGATAACTCATAGCTCAGTACATATCGTTCTTGGCTGGTATGTAAGAGGTCAAGCAAGTTCAAGCCCAATTAAAACTTTTTTTTTGCGTTACTTGTTTCCGAGTCTTAGGACCAGAAATGGGAGTGAAAGTTTATCTTCATCTCATATTTTTCAAGAGATAATATTCTTAAGCTGTTGATTTACTCCTGTACATGACACACCTGTAGAAGTGTAACCTTAGTGATTTTAATTTCGCAAGATATAGTTAAACCAAATTGATCTAAATGCATATTTTCCTACCAAAAATAAAAACCTAATGCAACTAATCTTTGAGTCACTTTAAAACGTAGCTCTGCTATTACACTTATTCTACTTCCGATTCATACCTGAAGTCTTAATTTAAAATACATTTACAGTTTGCATGTATTTTATACAACTTAAAACTAAATGATCCATGCTTTTTTTTACAAACTTGTATCTAAGAACTTATTCCGTTTCTAACTATTTAAAGGTGTGATCAATGTTCTAAGTTTATGTGTATTCTTGTGCACAATATTTGAAATTTTATGCTTCTATTTTACTTGTTATTCATAGATTCTTTAATACTCATGCACGTTATTCTTGTTTCATTTTAAATCATAAGCAGTTAAAATTCATTTAATCAGTATTCTAGTCTTTAATCAAATAGAAATTTTTATTTTTTTTTTGCTTAACATAGCATCTTCAGTTTTTGTCAATAAGACTTAGATTCTTATACTACGATCTGTATATGGAGTTCTTTGATGTCAGATACATGTATCAGTGGTCACGGTGGCGCAGCGGTAGAGTTGCAGTTCTGTCTATCTCCAAGGTTCAACAGCATTTGGTAGGGTAAGTACTTGGATGGGTGACCATTCAAGTCTCGATGTTTCACTTCTGCTTTTGATCGATCTTTGAGGGGCGATAACCTGCTTATTTCACGCGTTGTCAATGTGATCATAGGCATGATTGAGTTAGTCAAGGTGTTTATGCGTGTTTAGTACGTATAAACATCTAGTCATAACTCAGGTTTCACCGATGGCTAAAAAACACTACTCTTGTGTAAATGGCTATTTCTGAGCCTACGGGCAATAATAAACAATGAAGTAAACCATATATGCATGCATAACCAATGCACTTTTAAACCAGAAGATAGTCCGATTTTAATCATACTCACCATATTTTTTTGACTTTAAAAAAATTGTTTACTCTTTGCCAACCTCTGACAACCTTTATTATTCTAACAAAATACTACAAATGAAAGAACTAGGCTTTTCTAGATAAAGTGTAAACGCATTCTCAGATATAGTGTAAAAAAAACTGAAAAAGATAGTCACCTACTTGAAACTTTTACGGACAAATAACATCATTCTAAACAGATATAATATCAAAATTAGCACCGAGTCTCGAACTTAAATTTCACACTTTTATACGATTGGTGCTACATTAAGACAATATTACTTGTAATTATTTTTACTATTGAGTGGCGCTTGGTATTTAAAAATTCATTGTCGAGTGTACTATCTCCCATCATTCTTTCATATCTTGTGCTATACCCATCCACGACCTATCATCTAACTAACGATTTTTCAGAATATCTTCTCTTAAGTAGTTAAAACTTTCTCGCTTTACTTTTTGTGGTTACCTCGTCTCACTTCCATACAGCAGTACCGGCATTGTAGTCATTTTATAAAAACATTTTTTTTATTTTTTAAAATGAATCACGACTTAGAAACACTGGCCCCTTAATAACTTGCATTCACTGATTTAAGTCTATGTTTAATCTTCTCTTCAAAAGCTCTAGTATTTTTAACATTGTTGTCTACATATTAACACTTTGAAACCCTGTTAAATAATTTTTCCACTAATTTCAAGGTGGTTACGCCTGACTCATTTATTCCGCTGTAAATTATATATTTTGTATTTTTTCACTTATTACGAGTTCTACTTCTCTAACTTTTCGATCAATGTTTCCATGTTTTGTTTAGTTATTTTGTCGCTTTTACCCAACAAACTATAATCGTTCACGTATCCCAGTATTTAAGTTGTTCCATTTAGCGTTACCCCACGTTCATTTTCCTGAACATATCAAATCACATATATTAAAAGTAAATTAAACAATAACAAAGATAGCGTTTCTTTGTGCTTTCATCTCACATTTATTTTAAATAAATTGAAAAGTTTATTCTTAACGTGGAACGTTCGTTTGCTATCTCGTATGAGATGCGTATCATAGGTAAAAGTTTTGTTTTTGGATTCCAAAGGATATTAAAATGTGATTAATTTTTAATTTGATAATGAATTCATATGCTTTCTTAAAGTCTCTTGATAATCGCCCAGTTTTTTTTGTACTCCCACTGTTTGTCTATTATTTATCTCAACGTAAGAATTTGGTCGGTAGTCGACTGGTTACGTCTAAGCCCACATTAATTATCTCTGATAATGTCTTCTACAAAAGGTGTTCATCTGTTCAGGTGGATATCAGATAGTAGCAGGTTAAAAATATTCAATAACCCTAAAATGACCCAATGGTTATTTACAAACGTACCTATTCCCTTTCTTAAAAATTGGTATTATGGCTGATTTGGTGCATTGCCTGGGCATTTGTTCCTATCTCCAAATTTGCTTTATTAAGCCGTGTACTGTTATACTTAACCACTTTTTTCTGCTCTTTATCAGTTCCTCAGATATTCTGTCTATTCCCAACGCTTTATGGTTTTTGAGGGTGTTTAAATCTGCGGATCGCTTTCTATACCTCTTAAAGTGCCGGTTTATTTACCTTCATTTGCGTGGTAACAATGTTTTGAAGATCTTTATCCTCATTGTTCAAGTAATGAATTAAAATAGTTTTCCCATATTGTTAGTGCTTGCTCGTCCTCCATGATCATATTATTATGTTTATATTTAATAAAAACATTACAATTTCAATACTTTTTTTG